ACTATGGAAATAACACGATGATCATAAATAACTCAGTGGAATCTTGTTACATTTCCAGTATGGGGAAGTTAATGCTCAGTCCGTTAAAAAGCTTGTTATCATCTGCCATGGGCCTGCGTCGCTTTGCTCTGGGGTGTAATACTAATTTCAATTCAACATTTTTGCTGACTCGAATTTTATCTGACTGGAAAGAAGACAGAATTTTGGGACGATGGTGCTTCTTTTTAGTGGCTTTCTGCAACTCAGAACTCCTGCTGATCATGAAAAATGGCGATGAAGACCATTAATAACTCGGTGGCTTATAGATATGGGTTACAGTGTCAGGGGTTTTAATGATCGATCCTCTTGATGATGTCGTAAAACTAGAGGTGACGTTACAGCTTTACGTCTGACTGTTACAGGACCCTGACACTGGAGACTCCTTCCATAAATGTTATGTTATAAATAAACATGTCCTTACAGAGAATGTCCCCATATCAATGATTACATACATTTTAATATGGTTATGTAGAGCGTCCATTGTACAAGTCCCTGTGAATGAGCTGTGACTCTAGAAAATACTAATAATAATAATACTAATAATAATAATAATAATTCCTACACCCAGCTAATCACTAGACTAGATCAGAACACAATAAAACATTAAAAGCATTAGAGCTACGCAAACATTTTGAGCTCTCTCGGTTACATCCTTATCCTCGTTTATCATCCTTGTAAACGAAAGCGAGTGTTTGCTTTGTGTGATGCTTATTGCTTTTTAATATGGAGAATGTGCATTAAAAATACATAGCACCTTTCCTTTACAAACATGCACGCCTAATGACAGAAGCACGGGTCCGTATCCTGTCACAATAGCACGTGGAACCGCTTTCAAAGCAAACAAACTGAGCAGCAGGATGGATTTAATTACCGCAAATATGAAGATGGGAGCACAGCGGTGAATAAATAAACACAATGTTTCTGATTGGAAGAAAGAGAGCAGTACATACAGCAGGAAGATTAATGATGTTTCAAATGTGCTGTGTATCTCCAAAACAATATAATCAGAAACACACACACACACACACAGTGAGAGTGTGTATGAAGCTGAGGTTGCATTTCCTTCTGCATTCTCATTTAGTCCTCAGATCTTACTTTGTTACTCTATATATAGTTGGAAAAAGTAAGTGTTGTGTTTACATATTGAACACAGGCGAGGCTAAATCCGGTCAGTTGAATTGAATCAGTTGAAAGGATGCTGGTCTGTCTCCACCGTCCCAGACATTACTGCTGCTGATTAAACATTTGGCATCTGACGTGTAGACTTTCAAGTACTGTAACGAGAGTACAGTACGCAGCATTTACATACCAACATAATATCCACGCTACTACAAAAAAATTACGTTCGGAAATGTGCACATTTCTATTTAATGAGTGTATCGTAAAACCTGCCATTCTTTACCTAGTTCCTTTTTGCTGAACCTACATTAAACGTTAGGAGAGAAATAACTATTTTCTTTTTTTTTTGTTCTTTTTTATTTGAAATTTTTCGCTTCTTTAAGCACATTTATTTTTTATCATTTTCGGTTGCTTTTCCTTCCTTTTCCTTCTCAATTTTTGGATATAAAATAGAGGTGCATAGAAATGAAGATTTTTTAGCCTGTACATGAATGAAGTGGATTATTTACTCTATCATTTTTTTTTTCTTTCTTTCTTTCTTTTTAAACCAAAATTCCTTTGGAGGAGAAGCTGAAAGTAAATCGTCTTGCACACACTGTCCAGTAGAAGTACAAAATACATCAAAAGACAGACAACAGAAATGTAGTGTAGAAGTTTAGTGTTTTTTTTTTTGGTTTAAACACAAGGTTATGCAGATCAATTATAGTATACGGCATATAAAAATGACTGTACATTGTGTCTGTTATTGACCATATGTTCCAGAATATACAGTATACTGTTCTTTTCTTTGTCATTATGAGGTTATGTGCCTTTAATTTTCTACCTTTCTCCAGAACAAATGCTGAAGTTCTGCTTTAATTCTCTTTACAGCTCACTGGGCAGAGATTCGGCAGGGCCATCTGCTTCAGACTCTCGCTTTGTCTTCTCAAGGGTAAACACGTTGCTGCGGAAGAAGGAGTGGAGTGAGGGAATAAAGGAGAGAAAACAGAGAGAGACAGAAACAGAGAGAGAGTGCAGATAGATAAGGCACAGCACTTTATGGACAGTTTATTCAGCAGTTTATCTCCATACACATAGTTAATAATTCAGTGAGCGGTTTTCCTGTATTTACAGCGTGTGTGTGTGTGTGTGTGTGTGTGTGTGTGTGTGTGTGTGTGTGTGTATGTGCAAGACAGAGATAGTAGAATATCTGAACAGGGGTAGAGGAGTAGAGGACAACTGTCAAAAAAACCCTCCTGCAATTGAACAAACCTGCACCAAGAAACAAAAAAAAAACTCCACACAAAAACAATCTCAAAATGTGTCCAAGTCAAAGTTTCCTGTTGGTACTGAACAATTAACCTGATCAACAATGTTGGGTAACATTTAAAAATAATTGTTTTATTGCTTCCCGGTTTTGTTTTGACTCAGCTCCACCCTGACCACAGCCACAATTACTGGTAGCATTTTGACATTTTCTATTAAAAAGTTACACTTTTTCCTTTCACAGGAATCTCATTTTGAAGTAAAGAGCTAGCATTTTAAAGTTAGCGTATCTGCAAAAGTGAAAAAGGATACAATCGCATTTAAAGATTCCATTCCAACTACGATGCGTCACCATTTTAACAGACAGAATCTGATTACAAACTGAATTAATAAGGCTTATCTCAGTTTCATTACAGCACTTCGACATACAGCGACTTGACGCTTACTGTGTGAGGAAATCATACTTAGCTGTCTCCTCCCCTGTGTTGTTATTGGATGTTTCCCCTCACGTCTCATGATCAATCTCACCTGTTCCCCATTTGCCCTTGATTAGTTTGTATACTTACTTTTGGGGAGAGCTAGCCTGTCACCAGCTACTATAAAGAGGCCAACGTGGTAGCGTCCCCTGTAGAGCTCCAGCCAGAGGCCAACATGGAGGCCTCACCTTCAGAGCTCCAGACTGAGATCAGCGAGGTGGTCTCCTCTTCAGAGCTGCAGCCAGAGGCCAACATGACCGCCTCACCTCCAGACCTCCAGCCTGAGACCAATGAGGTGGTCTCCCCTGCCGAGCTCCAGCCAGAGGCCAATGTAGCGGCCCACCTTCAGAGTTCCAGCCTGAGACCAATGAGGTGGTCTCCTCTGCTGAGCTCCAGCCAGAGGCCAATGTAGCGGCCCCACCTTCAGAGCTCCAGCCTGAGACCAATGAGGTGGTCTCCCCTGCTGAGCTCCAGCCAGAGGCCGACGGCGTGGCCTCCCAAGTTCTGTTCATGCCAGAGGATGACAAGGCAGTCACCCAAACCCTTGTTCCTGCATGAGGCCGACGAGATGGCCTCCCATGACCTGCTCAAGCCCGAGACTGACGAGATGGCCTCTCAAGTTCTGCTTAAGCTGCCCAGTGCAACAGCTTGTGTTTCCGGTTGACAGGACATTAACTTTTGGTTTGTTTACTTTTACATGTGTGTTTTGTTTTGGCTTCTGTCCTGTCACTGCCCCCGTATTGTTATTGGTTGTTTCCCCTCAAATGTCATGATCAATCTCACCGACTTCCCCATCTGCCCTTGATTAGTTTGTATACTAACATATACTGAAGCACTAGTATGCTTTCAGATCGGAACTCAGGAAAATTGACTTGGGATTTTCTGAGTAAAGTTCTGAGTAAAACGTGTCGTAGCATTAGTCCCAATATTCCTTTGTCTAGTTGCTAAGTGTCTGTTGTATGTTGTGTGTTCTGTGTCGTGTTTTTCTAGTTCTTGTCATGTCCTTTTTGACATTGTATGTTTTTGTTTTTTTGTCCATTATTTAATTCATTGCCTGCATTTGCCTCCATCTCCACCACTGCTTGACAGTAAGGTTACAAAGTAAATTTTACTGAATTATGTTTGTGGTTTCTTAAAGTGTCAGTTGGCCAATTTTGGATATTTTAGATTTTTTTGTCTTTCACAGAGACATCTGATGGGTTTTCACAGAACATCACACGCATATTTAGAGATCTGTAATGTGTGCCAGAGCTAGGCAGGAAGCAACTGCGTAAACTCAGCGGCAGATTTATCTAGGACAAACTGGTAATCATAATCAGAGATCTAAGTGGGAGTCAAAACGCATGGCAGACAGGCTCAACATAGGGCAATCCATAATCAAAATTAAAATGAGGTCAGGCCCAGGAAGCACACGGAAACAAGGCTTGGACTAAAGGTAACTAAAACATGATAAGACTTTACAAAGTGTCACAGACATAACGGTACAAATATACTGTATAAGTGTTAGACATACACTATATGGCCAAAAGTATGTGGGCACCTGGCCATCACACCATTATGTGTTTCTTCCCCAAACTGTTGCCACAAAGTTGGAAGCACACAATTGTATAAAATGCCTTTGTATGCTGTAGTATTACAGTTTCCCTTCATTAGAACTAAGAGACCCAAACCTGTTCCAGCATGACGATGCCCCTGTGCACAAAGCGAGCTCCATGAAGACATGATGTGTGAAGGCTGGAGTGGAAGAACTCGAGTGTCCTGCACAGAGCCCTGACCTCAACCCCACTGAACACCTTTGGGATGAACTGGAACACCGACTGCACCCCAGACCTCCTAACATCAGCGTCTGACCTCATTAATGCTCTTGTTGCTGAATGAACACAAATCCCCACAACCAGACTCCAAAATCTAGTGGAAAGCCTTCCCAGAAGAGTGGAGCTCATTATAACAGCAAAGAGGGAACAAATCTGGAATGAGATGTTCAGCAAGCACATATGATGGTGTGATGGTCAGGTGTGCACAAACGTTTGGCCGTATATTTGGCCATTTTTTAAGATTATTTTCTGCGGGTAAAGTCAGAGTAAGTATCAATATATTGCGTATTATATTACCATCTATGGGTCCCTGGAGGACTAGCGGTTAGGCCACAGCGCTCTCAGTGCTGCGGCCCAGGTCCAATTCCAGGCCGGTGAACCAACCCCAGCCGGCAACAATGCAATCTCAGTGCCGGTCCCAATCCCAGATAAAATTGGGGAGGGATGTGTCATAAAAAAATTGTGCCAAATCAAACACACAGACCAATGATCCGCTGTAGCGACCCCTAATGGGAGCAGCCGAAAGAGGAACAACAACATATTATCATCTTTCCTCTATTATATCTATATAGTACTATCTACAATGTTCTTATTACTCTGTGACCTGTACATTCTTTTATGTTTCCTCATTTCTGTTAGCTAGACTAGTCATGTAATTAAAGCAACCATGGCAAAATCTTTGTCAAATTTTTTGGAGCTTGTACTTTATCAAATGGACATCCTCATCTACCATGTCAACATAACAAGCCAACACTGCTAGCTAATATCTGAGGTAACTGGTAAAACACCATCCTTCCCGCCAAGAGAGCATGGACCAATTTTACACTCTTGGATTTCCCGTCCACGGATGGCTGTAGCATTGTCGAGATTCCAACTCATGATATTCCTATGACAGGAAGCAGTGACTATAACAAGAGTTAATAAGTGAAAGACGTCAGGAGTTAACAAATTACTATTTGACTCTATAATATTGAAGATTATACAGTGATTAATGTATTTGATTTCTGTCACATTTATTAGATTATTACAGTACATTGCATGGCTAATATAATTAATTAAAAATTGTTTTGTATTTTTTCCGTGAATGTACTTGCTATTCCAATATTCTTGTTGCATGTTAATTAGCAATTCATCAGATTAATAATTTGTTATCACTTAAAAGTAGTACATCATTAACGGGTTATATATAACTTGAATTACATTTTACTAAAACTCCTAAATAATACTTTAATACAGTGTCTGGAAAAATACTTATTTTTGATTCACTCGTGCACTAGCATCTTTAAAACACTGGCAATCTTCTGTTGTGCCTCATGTATCTATCACATCTCATTGCCTCTAATTGGACTTTCAGGTGAAATAATGGATAAAATAGAGCAATCTTGAGTGCATGTACTTGAGAACAGTGAAATAAAGAGAGAAAATAATAAGCTAATTTAAAAGACAGGGCCAGGGACCTTCTCTTTAATGACTCTGCGCAAAGACATTAAGTTTCCAAAGTCTTTTTTTTTTTTCCTCTGGAATGCAGTGACCAATGATGTAAGACAAGATGGAAAAATCTCAGCTTTTCTGAGGCTGACCCTGAAAAATGGCCTTATCTAAATGTGCAAGTGAAAATGTTTTTAATGGAAATAATTCTCACTGCTCGTGTGGTTGCAGGATAATGTATCTTCTGTAAAAATCAAAAGAAATGCTTCACTGATTTATATACATACATATTAATACATTGGTGTTAAAAATCGACCATAAGAAATGGCCGATTTTCAAACGTTCATTATAAAATATCCGTTTCATCCTTCGCTCCTAGCAATCAGATCTTATCATGACTGAGCCTGACTCTCAGAGTTCTGTCGGTCAGAAGATCTTACAGAAGTCTTCATCAAGAACACATCCTCATGCTAGTTCACTAGGTCAAGGACTGAGAGGACCATCAAGCAAAAAAAAAAAAAAAAAAAAAAACCTGTTGGAGGAGATTAGTACAGAATTAACTGAATGCTAATTCAACTGTTTGGTGAAGTCATAGCTCTTCGTTCTTTGTTTCAAGTCAGTGTCTCAGCTGTTCAGACAGCCAGGGGAAGATTGCGCCACCATCTGAGTGCCAGGACAAAGACAAGTCTGGATTCATGTCTTCCTTGTACCTTGAGGGAAGGTGGGCCCAGCTGTTCTGTGCTAGAAGCTTTTAAGGTGGGTGGGCACTGGTGCATTTTTGGCTTTAGAGGCAACCAACAGCGTTAGAAATCTGATGTGGGCAGCTACAGGAAGTCACTGGAGGGAGTATAGCGGGAGTATAGCTATGAGAACTTGGAGAGGTTGAAAAGAAGTGCAACTACTTTCTGGATCATTTGCAGACCTGCCAGGAGCGAGTTACAGTATTCCGGTTTTGAGATGACCAAAAGGGACTGAACAAGCACCTGAGTGGCCTCCGTGTATAGAAATAGCCGGATCCTCCGGATGTTGTAAAGGAGAAACCTGCAAGACAGAGTCAGGCTAGTGATGTGAGGAGAGAATGACAGTTGGTTGTCTATGGTTCCACTGAAGTGGTGTGAAGTGTCAGATAAAGTAATCTGAGTGTTGTCCAGGGAGATCACAAGATCTTGACATGGGGATGCATCTCAGGGGATATACAGAAGCTCAGCCTTGGCTGGGATTTAGCTTCAGCTGATGAGCTGCCATCCATGACAATATGTCTGCTAGACATGCTGCGATCCATGCAGAAACATGAGCGTACGACAGAAGAAAGGAGAGTTGAGTATCATCAGCATAGCAGCGGTATGAAAACCCATGTGAGGATATTTCTAACCTGATAAATAAGACTCTGATTAGCTGTGGTCTGACCCACCAGGGCAAAGAGATTCAAAAACATGTTCACAACATAAAAACACATCTGTGATCTTAATAAAAGAGCAAAACCCAAAGGTTTAAATTCAAACTAGATATTTTTTTGCGTGGATGATAGAAAAAACACCCAGAGTTGACCCTGGGATGGACCCTGAGCAGAATAAAGCGCTTACTGAAGATTAATGAAGGAATACATTTGATTTGGATGTCATGTAACATACGTGCAAAAAGGTTTTGCCAAGGTTTGAGGGAATCAGCATGAAGTCAGAATACATTCTGCATATAAACACAACCGGTGCCTGCGTCAAAAGTCAAGTGCTGTCAAATGTGCAAGTCCAAAACTTTGATCAGTATTTATACCGGGAAACTTATGTGTATTCAGCAGCGTATAAAATAGCCCTTGATCCAGTGCATCCTATTATTCTTTCATTTTAGTTTGTTATATTGTGTTCTAACAGTTACTCATGCACACAACGTAATGAAGCCATGTGATACGAAATCGAGATAATGACATTTTATATTTTATATCAGATTATACTGATTGGTTCAGTTAATAAAATAATGCCAATGTTTTTGTTAATTCTATGCGCTCTAATTTTCTTATGTAAAGAAAATGTGCCGTTGGTTTGAAGGTTAAGCTGACCAAGCACTCATCTGTTTGCTTACAAACTCACTTTAAATTCATTCATAATTTTATCTATTAAAAAAAATCGTAAGGATTAGCAATGATTAGCAATGATTAAGAAGTGACGTCCTCTGTGATGGAAAAAGCCTTCTCATAGACTTTAAAGAGACAGGGGCAGTATTATTAATTGATTAATAATGTCAAATTTATCTATATAATATTAAATTCTATAAATATTTTGACAGCATTTACATCTAAGATATACATTTTAGCGTGATATAATGTGTCAAACTGACAGTGGGGCTGGACTCAACACTGCTCCTTGCTTGAGCCGATATCAAGAAAAATGAAGAAACTACAGATTCTGTACTTACATTTAAGGTCTGCAAAAAAACAGATGTGTGCAATTTAGTATTAAATCCTCACTACGCTACATGATGCTAAATAAAGCCCATTAAGTGTAGTTACTTAATGAGTAATTTAGTGCTTTTCACATCATATGTTTAGACTCAGAAGACTCATAAAATGAGCCATGACTCATAAAAAAAGTCTGATTCCTCCTCTTCTAAGCAGCAGTTGAAGACAAAAAAGTTTGCAGGTCACATGGCTATGCAGTACATAAGGGTTTTTTTGCTTTATTTTTATTTATTTATTTTTTTTTGCATTAGCTGTTAATTCATCTCTACTCTTTTCTGCTAATAAAATAAGCCCAAGGTGCTGCAGACAAGTCTGGGTTGGAATAGATTGGAATTTGCAATCGTGACGCTAGTCAAACCAAAAGGTTAATTCACATTTTTTCTTTCATGGGCTCGCTGAATAGCTTCGTTTAAACGCCTTTCTCACTTTGCACAGGAAATGGCTGGTGATGAAGTGAACTATTCCATTCCAGCCTTTTAGGTTCTTTGTTTAAGGCTTTTCAAATCCATCTCCTTTTATTTGCACTTACCACTTGGCCTTTTTTTTTTCCTGATCCATACACACACTCGTAAGGCTGAATGAACACACTCCGAGTTTTGTATTTAGTCTTTAACAAGACATTACACAGCGGTCAGCATTAGCGGTAACAGTGTGGGATCGTTTCCATCTACTGCTTTAAGGGTGTAAAGTACGGGAGATGATTAGAGGAGTAATAATGAGGCTCTTCAGTTTTGTGGCTTGAAGATGTGTTACGTTGGCCTGTGCTTCGGTGTCAACGGTGTTCTTTTATCTTAAGACTCATTAAAGAGTGTGTCAAGAGTTTGTCATTTCTGGTAATAATTTTTCGTAAAAAAAAAAAAGATAGCGATGTCACTTTATAATTGCAAACACAGACAAAAACACCTCTAGAAATGGATGCAAACCTCCAATATGTTGAGACTGGGGGCCATTTTGTAATAATATATTGTTTTAAATATCTACGTTTGCATCTGTGGAGCATCTTCCTTTGCTTTTTTGTCAATCACTGTACACATTTATCTGTGGTTTGGATTGTGAGATAAAGAAAAGCATGCTTGAAATGATTGGTTAGTGTGTGTGCATGTGCCAATTGCCCAAATGATCCCTTCTTGACTACTCGATTGTCCTCCAGCCCTAAACCAAGCCTTTTTAAAAGACATATCAATTCTCATAATACATATTGTGTATTATTAATGATATATCAAAAAAAATTTATGGATCCTCCATAACACCGATCCTCGAATCAGTGTATGCTACAGTTGCAAATCGAAGACAAAGACCTGCACTTCGACTGACAAGAATAATCCAGTTCCATGTTTTGCCTCTGTCATCGTCAGCAGCCCAAGAGGCATACTGTAACTAGCGTTAAGGGCTGAAACATACCCTGTGTATCTACGTGAACGCACATGACTATGCCGATCCAAAACTTTCCTGTTGTACATACTCCGCGTGGATTCTTGCATTACTGCGGCGGTTTTAAT